TCGTTATCCTGGCAGGTGAAACTCGCGTTTGCAATTTCCCATTTCCCCCATTTTGGTAACCGACTTAAATGCTGTGGCGTGCGCATTTCAATATGTGCCATTCATTATCATAATGCTTAAATGTCATATACATTTTTACTAATCCTTTTTGAAATTTAATGATTTTTTGTATACCAGTTATATACAAAATATTATAATCTAATGTGATATTGGGTTTTTCTTTGTTCTCGGTTAATATCTCTTTGTGGTCCTCAAAGTAAACATTAACATTAGATAAGGAAATAAACTTCTAAGGCCAACTAGAATATTTTAGATTAGAACTTCCTACTTTCTTTGACACCCTGACTAATGTGTGCTTGTGTAGCCTTTAATTCAATCAGGAAGCCCAAAGTTGGCCACTAAGTGCGCTTAAATTGGATTTTATGTGAGAATTATGCTGCCTCATTATGCCAAATGGCCTAAATAACAATCAAAGCGGGACTTCTCGCTCGCATGGAGGTTGGTAAAATTTAATTAAATTATTAAAGTTACGCGGTAAGCCACAGAGATACGAGGGGATTCGGATACATAAACAAACAGACGAGCTTCAGACAAAGGCATAAAAACTTTTCTTTTCTTTTCAGTCCACTCCTCTTTCCCGCATTTCATCTCTTTCTCCTTTTTTCTCCGAGTCAAGTTGCGAGGCATAAACAAACAGAAGGCAAACGATTCGCCAAGACGGAGATACATTATGCACAGACGCAGCTACAGATACAAGATACACCATACAGCATACAACATACATACACTATACACTATAGACCAGCAAAACGAATGGAAAAACAAACAGAAATGAAACGGGGAAGCGCAGATAAAGGAGAAAACTAAGAGAATAAGACCAAGTCAAAGCACATTTTCGTGTTGGCATTCGCTTTTCGCATTCGCATTCAAGTGCAGATTCACATTCATTTGACTTGGGCACAAAAATTATGTGCATATATATATAAAGTTTCGTCCTTTTAGCCGCACATACATATATATTTTTTCCAGGAGATGAAAAGGTGTGTTTTTGGCTAGCGCTTTCCTCCACTTTCCTTCACATTTTAATAAATTAAATATGGAAACCTGCAAATAACTGCCAGGATGTTTAGCAAGCAAAAGTTTATCATCATAACGAATTTACATCTTATTTAAATGGGTACTCTTATATTAGGTTCTTTGAATTACATTTAACTTTGAATGTTAAAGATTCTCTGAAATTTAAAGAGTTTCAACATTTTTCACAATAGATTGGTGTGGAAATGAAAATTCAGTCCGAAAACTAAACCTTTTCGGACAAAAGATGAAATTTGTTTTTTTTTTCCAAAACAATTATTTTTGGATTAGAAATTCTGATTTTAAGATATTTCAGCCTTTCGTTTTCCTCATTGTTGCGTGTTCATCTTTATGCGTTTTTCCACTTTGTCTGTCTCGCAATTTTCTTATTGTTGCTCGGGGTTACGATGTCTAAAGTTGGGTGGCAAACTGGAAACGGGTTGTGGGGCTGTGAGAGGAGCTCGATGATGATGGGGCCGTATTTGCTTTTATTTTTATTGTGTCGTCTCCACTCTGCCGCAGAAGTCGACATTTTTATGCTGCGTGCTTTTGTGGGGGGCTGGGTATTTATCATCATCCCCCTTGAATGCGCCCTTTCAGTGCTTTTGGCTTTCCCGGCGTTTTTCGTCGGTGTGCCAAAGTTGATTTTCATTAGTTTTAATGCCGCTCATTATGTTCGGGGTCTGTCTGTGTCTGGAATCTCTGTCTATCTGGTTTTTCCCTGCCGGCGGGGCACATAGCATCGTACACACATCCCAGACGACACCGCGCACACAGATTGCTGCCAATAAAGGCAAACTTTTGGCAAAAGAGTTGTGTGCGTGTGCGGTTAAATATTTCATTTGGCATTTCGGGACTCAGATATGCAGAGGAATAATGTATATGGATATGGAAAGTTTTCCTATAGATGAAAGCAATGGAAGAAAGAATATTTTTTAACAATTAAACAAGGTTTTGAAGAAAATAAATGCATACTATTAATTGGTTTCTTTGCACAAGAATTTTTTATTTTATATCTGTTATTTATTTTATTGGCCTAATATTTACTTTACAGCCAACATGAATTGAGCATAAGTCTGTGTGTTTGCATACTGAGAAATGGAACATCAAATAGTGGCAGACATTTTTCGGCATTTCAATATCATATGTCATGCTTTCATTTTTTCCTTTTCTCCTGTCAATATAACTCGATTGATATGCAGCAAACAAATATTAAACATTTCCACAAATGCAGTCAAAAAAGCATTTTATATTTCTAAAAAAAGTTTGACTGCGTCAGCATTTTTCCTCAATCAGAAATGACAATAAAATGTAGTGCAAGCTTGAAACAGTGTGGAATACATTTTAGAAAATAAAAAGCATTTGTAGAAATTGTGTAATTCATTTGAAACATTTTATGTCAGCGGAAACTTTAGATATCTTGTTATTTCTAAATTGTTTAAATGTTGATATCAGTCACTGCGGTTTCATACAATTTAGAACCGAAAAAAATGATACCCAAGGCCTTCAAAACACAAGTGATTACGGGACCCAAATGTTTTTGAATTTTACAACACTCGTATTAAGTGAGAAATAATAAACAAGATGCTGATAAGGGTAAAAGACTGACTTGATTGCTTGAAAATAATCTTAAAATCGAACAAGTGCTACAGTTTTCTTAAATTTTTAGAATCTCACTCTATCGAAATCCCAAATATACGCAATTATAAATCTTCTTCATTAATAGTTTAATCAGCTTTTATATTCAATGGCATTGATTTTGTCAAACTGACAGATTAATAGATACACCAAAAGTAAATTATTCCGTTCCGTTGGGTCATTTGTCTGCATATCGGTTTAGGATTTGTTGAACGAAATAAAACGAATGAAATCAAATTAAAGAGACGTTCAAAATGTCCATAATGAAATTTCGCTCTGCGGAAACCATTTTACATATATTTTCATGTATATGTAATAGTTCTTGTTCTACATACAAAAAATATAATACGAAAATCGGACCAAAAGCCATTAAGTCAATGAATGGGCAATGTTAGAGGTAGGTGTACTATCCATGCTTCAGTACATTTAAATGTGATTTATATACCATAAATACGGTTGTCATGGCTGATGGGGGCACGTAGAAACCGAAATGAAAAGAAATGAAAGTGTAACAATCTGAGTGGCGTTTCCTGCAAGAGTGCGTAGAGTTTTATAATAATTTTCACCATTGTTATGGTCGTAAAGAGACCGTTTTACATGAAAATTACTCTAAAACTAAGCAATTTATGTATATTAACTAGTATACATTCCCTCAGTCAATCAATCAGGATTAGTATAGTATTGAAATGCGATATTTCAATTTTACTTTCGTATCTAAAATCAACTTGCAATTATATTAACCGCTTATTATTTATTACACAACTGCAACCCTTTATGTACACTTTAACTAGTCTGCGGCTCACCACCAAAAAACCACCCTTAAAATTAACCCCAAAATTGACAAAAGTCTGTCAATCAAATTGGCCCAAACCAGTAAATATAAATTGTATTAAAAATATGTTAAAGGACACGATATTAGGACAGCATTCCGAAAATAATACGGATACGCTGAGCTTGGTTCTTTTGATTAAAATCAATAAATTAAAATAATGATTAACTTGCAAGGCATTTTAAAATTGTCCACAGTAACTTGCTACTTTTTTTCGCCCACTTTTGAGAGTTTGTTTATGTGCCTAAAGCTAAAAAAATGTCCTGAGAAGAGACAAAAGAAAGTAGCTTTTGTCTGACTTCTCAAAGCTGACGGTATCAAAATCTAATGGATAAAAATAGGGAATGCCTTTATTTTTCAATTTTTTACTTTTTAGCTAACGATTTTTTAGCCGCTGGCGTTTGCTTTGTGCTGGAATATAATGTCCTATCTGAATGCGTGGATCAAAGAAAACTAACCAAAATGGAGAAAGTTTTTTGTCACAGACTTTCTAAAAGCAACTTTTAATTTAAAGTTTTTAAATTAATTATAATTAGGTATGGTACTTTTTTATTTTCGCTAACTCATAAAGTTTTTTAAATTGAATATTCAGCTTTATGTCAACATATTAATTAATTATTAAAATTATAGACATGGTACTTATAATAAGTTATAATTACTTTTTTTGATAAGCTAACATTATTTTAATTCATGTTTTTTAACAAAATGTTATCCTTTTCTGTGAAATTGTACAAAATTAGTCATTTTGTTTAGCGTTAATTGTACGTGTGAAACCAACAGAAACAATACCAAAATATTTGGTGCGCATAATGTTGTGAAAGTTAACTGAACATAATTGTCTACAAACATTTTTGGCTTGCATTTATTTGTGCACAAAAATAATAATACAAATAAATACAAATGAACTGAACAAATGTTGAAAAAACTGAACAGCTTTTGATTTTATTAATTGAAAAGGGCCTGGCTAAACCATTTTAAAATTAAAAAACAATATGTTGAATATGAAATTCTGATTTTCACCCTTGATTTTTGGCTCTGAATGACTGTTAGATTTTATCTGGTTTTACTTTCTTAAAAAATAACCTTTAAATAAACAAAGCCGAGCCCTAAAATGTATTTTTTTCCTTTTGGTCTGTCAGGAAGGAAACATTTTGCCTTTCCCGTTTTACTTTTCTGCCCTTTACCGAAAACCTGCACTCTGCTTACTCGAGTGGATTTTAATTTGAATACTTTTGCGTGTTTTCTACTGCAACTTACCCCCTTTAAACGGAGGAAAGAACAAAACAAAAAACTGAATGAGTGGGGTGTCCTTAGAGCTGTTCCGTATTTGTTGTTTCATGTTGCCTGCATATTTTGGTCCTTGAACATTTAAACAAAATATTAAAAAATACCAGAAAAACTCTTTTAATAATCTTATGAACTTAACTAAAGTTGCCAATTTTGTTTTCTTTACTTTCAGGTTACGCAAAAGATATTTCTGGAGTTAAAAGAGGTAAGAGTTTGTAAGGTTAATAATCTTGCAAAAACGGAATATATCTAAATGTCCTGAAAAAAGGCTACAAATTACAATTTTTGAGCAATAAAAGGAAAAATAATGATGGCTTTTTAAACGGGAATATTTATTAAATTAAAAATTTTGTACAATTCTTAAAAATGGGTGAAGCATGGAAAAGTTAGTTAATAATACAATAAATTTGGTTTACTATTTATTTATTTTTTTATTGCTTTTGAAATAGTGTCATGTCGTTAATCATGCGTGGCTTTATATTTCAATTAACCTCTTTTCCCATTTTTTGCGATTGATGGCGGCTAAACGATAAATCTGAAAGGGCGAAAAAGTGCAAACACTTTTCGCATTGCGTCCCTTAGTGGACAGACCCCTGATTCATCTCAATCTTTTCACATTTGTGCATTTTTTAGGGGCCGCGCATTTGGCCCATTCACACGCCGGCACTTTGGTACTTCGGCACGGCGGCTCCCCGTAGTGCAATTTATAATATGTGCCGACAAAGGAAGTCGAAAAAAGAGTAGTTGGAAAAATGCCCGACGTCGAGTAGCTCTAGAATTCGTTTAGGCTGTCCCACTCTTACTCGCCAAGCCACTCGAAACCCCGGGCTTTTCCTCACATCTCGGCCACGTTTTCCTGCCATTTCTCCACCTTTGTCACCTTTTTTTTCTCTGCAGCCCTTGGCTTTTGCAGGTTGCATCGCTGTTGACTTGTCAGTTGACTGACGGGCAGCAAAAAAATACTAAAAGGAAGAACTGTAAAAGTAGTGCTTTTTATTCCGTTTTGTTTTGCCCCGCTCATGCAAATGTTTGGGCCGCACGACAAGGCGTGGCCCACATGTATTAAATATATATATATATATGTAGATATAGTGGGTATAGCATTCGATTTTTTATGATTCAATTTTATGCTTGTAGCGGTTGTGGTTCTCCTGGCCAAATGGCATAAAATCAATGAAGCTGCGGCGCATTTGGGTGGTTGATGGGTGGAAAATGGCGGCCATTTTGCAGAGCCCTCGCCCTCGCGCCCAGTCGATTGTCATTATTTATTGAAAATATAGTTTGATGAGTTTTTACTTGGCCAAGGGAACTGTGGTTGCCGTTGCTTTACAGTTGCCACAGATGCTGCCGCGCAGCAACACACCTTTTCCGACCTCCAAACTCCAACTTCTGGTTTTTCCCCCCCGGTTTGGGTGTTGTTTTTTCTGTTGCGGTCAATGGGAATGGCTTTTTGTGTCTGCCTCCACGCTGTCTGTCTGTTTGCCTGTCTGAGTTTGTGTGTGTTTTAAAATTGGTTAAATCAGCAAACTTTCCTCGGAACTTTTTTTTGTCGTTTCGCACGCCAAGAGCTTTAACTTTTCCACACAAATGTTGGCGGCAAATTGCATTTAGGATTCTTTATATTGGCCGAAGTTCAATTTATAAAATAGTAATCAATTGGCCCGGGATCAATCCCAATTTATTATATTTTTTACTTTGGGTAAATGTTTTTGTAAAAATTTATAATAAACATTTTTAAATTAATTTTAAAAAATATTATTAAAATCCAAATAAATATGTTTGCTGTACTTATCATGCTGATATGATATGATTATGATATGCTAAAACAACACCTTGTTCTATAAATCGTCCTTGCAATTCAGTCGGCTAACAATGATGGTGCATTTATCACTCAACTGAAAAAACGATACACAACATAAAAAACCGTCTGCGGCCAACAAACTATCATCCATTTCTTCCGCTTCATATTACAAATCTTCTGCTGATACGATTATGTGGCGGCCTTCTAGACATGGCAACACAAAAAAAAATGAAGATAAAAATCGAAATGGGAATGGAATAGCGATATATCCGTGTGCCTTGAAGCGAGGGGTCATAAAAAAGCGGAAAAAACTTTGCTATTCCGTGGGGTATGACCAGTTAATAGCATTTCCCCCCCGGTTACGCCCACGCAATCGACACAATGTTCAAGCGAGTGTGTGCAACAGCTTCTGCCCTTTGTTTTTTATTTCTTCAACGGACCTATGTACGACTATGACTATCTTCCCCTATTCGCGATCTGGACCTGGAGTTTTGCAGTGTTTTACGGGACGGAAAATGAGGGAAGTATGAAGACTTGATTGCACCACCGGATGGACAATAAAAAATTGGAACAAAAAAAAAAGGAAGAGACAGTTGGAAAAAACAAAAATTATCGTCAAAGATGAAAGGGTTATGTGAATGAAAAATATGCTAACGAATGTGTGTAAAGATTGGTTGACGAACTGATTGGTTTGCGCTTCGCTGATCTTACAGAGAGTGAATAAGAAAAAGTGTCAAAAAATGTGGGAAGATTACTCAATAAAATAAAAATTGCATAATGTGTTGAAAATTATAGGGGGCTAAAATAATTTTACTGTATGCAGTGAATATAGGATAGTCTTCTTCCTGTATGAATCACTTTTCGTGGTGTAGCATTTAAAAAACACATCTATTTCTGTGAAAATATAAAAATATCAATAATTTTCCAGTTTTACTTTAAATCATTAAAGTTATCTGAAGATGGTAACTAACCTAGAGTGGGTAATATCAAAATCAATAGTAAGAGGATCAATGCCATGTATATTGGGGAGATAATTTCATCATCCTAAGCTGCATAAGAATAATCGCTGGACTGCTTTGATTTTCCTTGTTCACAACGCATTTCCATCTGGTTTCTGCTGCACCAAAAAAAACATTGGGTTTCTGTGGAGCGGATTGCAATACTCAACGAACTAAAGAGCTGCAAACATTGCGCTTGAAAAACTTTCCTGTTGCTGGGGTATTGTGCACTTGCCTCTTTTTGTTTTTTAATTTTCCCCCTCTTCTTTTTTTTTTTTTTTTTGCCAAACAGATTTGCCCGTATCAGAGACAGAGCAGACATTTCTGGAGTTTGAGCTAAATGCGAAGTGGCAGAGGACGGGGAGACCTAAAGAGGATGGAATATAGCTTTCCCTGTTCCCATGGCCATCCTGCTATTTAGCCATGTTTTGTTTGTTTTTGTGCTTTGCTGCAGTTTGAGTGCTGCCATTCTCTCCTAGTAAAGCCCCCTAGTATTTCCCTCCTCTGGTGTTCTTATATTCGCTTTGCAGCCATTTTTATCTTCAATACACGCTCATTTGCGCTGTCTGATAGCTTTAGGGTATATTCATATCCGTTGTGTTTTTAGACAGGAGAATACGCGAACTGGGAGCTGAGTAGCTTGGGACGGATGTTGGCACGGCGTGGAGCGATATTTGTGCATTGCGTTCCCTATTACACTGGCCAACTTAAAAATTTAGACTCATAATGAGAATATATTACAAAATGAAATATAAAACCTTACAAGACAAATATTTAAAACTAGAATTTTTAAAAATAATTGTGAGCCTTCTTTTTTTTAATCATTTTTATTATACATTAAAATTTTTTTTAATGAAAACTATTTTTGGAGATTTAATTTAAAGTTATGTTTCCTTTTTTTGTATTTACCTAACATCTAAAGAAACGAATATTTATTTTCTCGAAAATAAGTTTCAAATAAAAATTTGAAATTTATTCTATAAAACCACAGAAATAATCACTAAATTAATTTTAAATTTTAAACTATCATTTTATAAACTTAAACTTACCATAAAATATGGAATAGTGTAAGGTTGCTTTTTAATATTCTTAAACAGCGTACTGTCTGTGTTTTGCTGGCATTGTTTGGCAAATGATTGGCAAAAGACGACGGATAAGCTGCTGTCTTCTTCGCAATACATATTTACTGGAAAATTGTATCTAGATGTATATTCTAAATCGGCTCACCGAAAAACACGTTGCCAGCATTTTCGCTAATAAACTTTTGTCGCCGGGGATTTAATCAACTTTATTTTATTGTTCACTTTTGCAGCCAAGTCTGGCCCATCCCTTTATGCGAGTAGCTCAGTCCTGTCTAAGCCGAAAGGAGGACCCTTTTTGCAGCCAACAGGATTTTCATTTCATTTCGTGCTCGGCGATGCCCGCCTAAAATTGAATGGATTTTTGGGGTATTGGGAACATTGATTACCGAATGCGAGGCATTATGGCTGGTGGTTCGGCTGCAACTGCGAATCCAGTTGTTCTACCCTTTCCATCTATCGGCTTGTTAAAAGGTTCTTAAATTGCGTTTTATTGCATGCCACGTTCTGGCCTCGGTTTTGCGCTTTATGGGCCGCTTTGTAAGCCTTTCAATGCCGCTGTGGTATTGGCTTTTTATGGAAGGTTCATTGTTATCACAAAATAACGAAAAAAAAGGGTGGAAAAAATAAAAATAACAGAAGTCCGAAAAAAGATTTTTATTTTAAATTCGAAAAAATAATTTTTTTTGGTTCTTTTTTAATATTATAAACTTTATAATAAATAGGTGTTCGTATTTCAATTTTATATTACTTATTATATTATCTTATTCCGTTGTTTCTCGCATATAAATATCAACAGCTTTTACCCACTCAAACTGTATACGCCAATAACCAACAAAATCTAGATATAGAGAAAAACAGAGATAATCATGATTAGCCTACGCACTTTCCTCACAAATGCGGTCTCATTTCACCAAGGAAATACCATCCAGACAACTTCTCTACGACAATCTAAAAACTCATTACCCAACGCTAATCAAAGGCACACGCAGTCGGCCAGCAAACGTTTTTATGTCGGGTAATTAGGATGTTGGCAGTGCCAACGGGGTGGAGACCATATGACCCACCCACGAATAACTCAGTTATCAGACACGAGCTTGCTAATATAAGCATTATACTGCAGGACCCGCCTCCGCAAATGAGTAAAAAAGGACAGAGGAGAGTATTCCATATAGTCTCACGCAGTGGGTCGCAAACACGCAGGCCAACTAATGTACACAACTTAATTATCAAAGGAAAATCGCAGACTTATGTATGGGATGCTCAATATAAATAATGGCCACCAGACAGGAGACGTCTCGACTGGATGGAGGATAAGTTAACGCAT